GAGGGCCACGCCGACGCGCGGCACCACGCCTGCCGGCCACAAGCCGGCACGCGCCGGGCGCCTCGGGACGGCAGCTCCCGGGCCATTCTGTGACTCGCACCGGCTGGCCGCTGCGAAGTGGTGCACGCTTGGCGGCGGCCTCGGAGCGCGCCCGCCCTGGAGCCAACATGGCTCGAGCCAACACGGCCACGGGAGCGGGGAGAGGAGGAAACAGAAAGAAAGCTCATGGAGTTCATGCCGTCTGGCACCGAAACGCCCTGCACCTTGCAGCCTCGAAAATTGGGCTGGGAGGGGCTGGGATCCAGCGCGAGAGAACTCTGAGAGGCCTTACAACGACCAGCCACTGTACCACTACCAGCGCCCTCAGCTCGAGGCTGCACTGCCCCGCTCAGAGGCACCCCTCGGAGAGATTCGCCCTCCCTGGGGGCCCCCTGGGGGACCAGACGACCTTCCCCGCCCCCTCCCCCCCGTCCCGTTAGGGCGCGCCAAAACTACAGTGGGAGGCACCTGCCCCCGCACCGCCTGAGAACTCTCCAAAACTGCTGGGACCTTCCCCTGAGCCCTTAATTCTAAAAATCTTACGCTTCTGCCGCCGGGATGCCGTGCAAGGAAGAGGAGGAGGCCGAAGGAGCGGGGCTTCGAGAGAGCTGGGCGCATGAGCCTGCTGGCCCCTGCTCGGGGCTACTGTGCCTCACTTCGACACCATCGCGGCGAGGAGGCGGCCCGCGTCCCTCTCCAGCGGCCCTTTGGGAGCTGCTCCCACGCGCCTCTTGGCCCCCTGCTTCACCATAATGGCGTCGAACAGTTTGGTGAACACCTGCATGTCCGAGGCGAGCTGAATCCGGCCCTTGTCTTGCAGCACTCCCTCCGGCCCCTTGTTGCGCCTCCACTTTAAGTAGGGCACCCTCTCCGCGATCTTCAGGGGCTCCAGCGTGACGATCACATTCTTCCAGAAGTCCATCAGCGGGGCTTTGTGCTCGCCCCGCTCCTGCTTGCCGGCCCACTGGAGGAATGCCACAAAGACGTGGACATGTGGGGGCCCCCGCGACTCGAAGTCGGGACTCCCGCCCTCCTGCCTCTCCTTCCTGAGCCGCTCGCTCTCGGTGTTGTAGTCCTTCCCCGCCGCCTCGAGGGCCAGGCCCACGTGCTCGTCGCCCTTGAGGTCTACCTCCCAGGTGCGGTACACGGTGCCGACGACCTCGGCCAGGCAGCGCGAGTCCGAGAGCACGAGCTTGGTTAGCACCACGAGGAGCTCGCGCATGGCCGCGTCGCCCCCCTTCTTCGCCGCCGCCGCGATCTCCTTCCGGGCTACCTTGGCCTCGGCGGCGGCGTCGTCGCGAGACTCGGGGCCCCTTTTCTTCATCCAGGCTGGGGTCTCCATGGCGGCTGTGAGCGAGGCCTCTCGCGCGAGGGAGCGCCACGGGCGCCGGCAGGTGCTTGACGAGATGGCTACAGAGCTTGTCCTCGTCTGCAGCCGTGACCTGGCATATACGACACTCGAGCGACGATGGCGGCGCTGCCGCCCTCGGAGGAGGAGGAGGAGGATGGGGAGGAGGAGGAGGAGGAGGAGGAGGAGGAGGGAGGAGGAGGAGGAGGAGGAGGGAGGAGGAGGAGGGGAGGAGAGGAGGAGGAGGAGGAGGAGGAGGAGGAGGAGGAGAGGAGGAGGAGGAGGAGGAGGAGGAGGAGGAGGAGGAGGAGGAGGAGGAGGAGGAGGAGGAGGAGGAGGAGGAGGAGGAGGAGGAGGAGGAGAAGGAGGGGGCAGGTGAGAATGGGGATGAAGCTTTTTGTTTGAAGCTGCTGGCTTTTGTAGTTCCGCACGCTTCGCGTATCCCGACCAGCCTATTAAAAGATCTCCAGGCGAGTTGCCCTGAGCAGGGATGTGTAACAGCATGCAGTCACGCTCTGGGAGCCTCTTGGAGGCATCTTGAGGCCGTTGTGGGGCTATGTCGAAGCCCTCTTAGTGTCATTTTGTTCGCCTTTTTGGCTATCTTTGGGCCCCTTTGGAGCCTTGGTGGGGCTCTCTAGGGGGCCTCTTGGGGGCCTCGAGGGGCCTTTTACGAGCACACAAAGGGATGGCGCTTATAACTTCCATTGTCGAAGACAGACAATCGTCTACTGGGCCCCGTCGAAGATGGACAAATCGTCTCTTAGGGCCCTCTCGGGCCCCTCTTGGCCCTAGAGGGTGCCCCAAGACTCTTGGGGCACCTTTGGATCCGTCTTCGGCATCTCTTGAGCTCCTCTTTGGGCTCTCTTGGGCCATCTTGGAGGCATGCCGAGGCCTGAGGAGCCCATGCCGCGGAGGTCGACACGGGCATCTACGGCTCGCGCAGGCTGGACGACGTCCTGAACCCGATGCTCCTCAACTTCGTCCAGCGCCTGCGCTCGCTGTCGCGCGCGGAGCGCGGCGGCGAAATCCGAACCCTACGCTCGCCTATCAACGACTCAGGCAACTCGATGGGCGGCGGGGGTAAGGCTCGGAATTCGTCGGACGCGCGGCGAAATCTGAACCCTACCCCCGCCTGCCATCGATTCAGGAGAGCCGGGGGAACTGTAAGACTCGAGTCCGCCGGAGCTCGGGTCTGCCGACGCCTCTTGACGAGCCCGTCCTGGATCTCGACGGCCCTGGTTTCCGTGGGATGCGTGCAACAGGCGCCCGCGTGAAATTCCAGACTGGGTCTCGCCCTGTTCCTGGCGGCCCCGCCCGGCCAACCCGAGTCCCCCGGACCCGAGTCCGGCGTCGCCCCGAGAGATTGGGGGGTGGACAGAACCTCCAACAGTGACACGTCGATTAGTGAATTGTCCGTCTTCGGTTCTCGAGAGGGCGCCGTGGCCGTTATTTTCCAGGTTTGCGCCCGCCAGGTTTGGGCCTCAGGTCGGTTTCACTAAACCACGTTTTACTAAAGGGGGGTCTGTCCATCCCCGAGAGAAGCGATGGCTGCTGGGGCTAAGGTTTGCTCGGGCGTGTCCCTCTACAGGAGGAGTGCTCAGAACTGGTCCAAGAATTTTCTGGGGGCGATGTCGCTGCTGTTTCTTGATGTTTGAGGGTTTGTTTGACAAGTTTCCAAGATCCGCCTGTAGGAGGACGAGCTCCTTCTCCTCCTCCTCCTGCTCCTCCTCCTCTTCCTCCTCCTCTCTTTCTCCTCCTCCTCATCCTCCTCTTCCTCCTCCTCTTTCTCCTCCTCCTCCTCCTCCTCCTCCTCCTCCTCGTCCTCCTTCTCCTTCTTCGGCTTCCCCCCCCCCAGGAGTGCGAGGCGAGCCGCGTGCGCCGCGAGCGCGAGCGGGCCGAGGAGGACGAGGAGGCCCCGGCGCCGGGTCAGCAGGCGGCCGAGGACTCCTCGGGTCAAGCAGCGGCGAAGCGTCCCAGCTTGCCTTAGCCCCACCAAACAATGTTCTAAGAACCTTTTGTGGTTCCCACGAAATGTTCTTACAACATTTCTGGCGGAGCCTGTCTTGTGTTAGCACATCGGGTCTATGTTCTAAGAACATTGTTGTTGCTGTGATTAGAACATTTTTTGATTCTAAGAACATTTCGTGGTATGACTATAGGAATGCCGGGACGGTCGGTCCCTGCTCAATCGGGGAGAGGCTCCGCCGAAGAATTGTTTGGTCGGGCCTCTCCCTCTACAGGAGGAATATTCAAAAGCAGTCAAAAACTAGCCTGGGGACGATTTCTGGACCATTTTTGAGTACCTTATGGTATTTTCTTGACATTTTAAAAAACTCTCGTTTCAAATCGGTCTGTAGGGGGACAGGGCCGACGTAAAAGAAGCAAAAAGCGCCGCCCCTGGACCGCGCGCCAGGGAGGGCGGCCCAGCGCAGACCCAAGACATCCGCGCGGAGCATGTCTGCGGCGTGCGTGCTTCTTCTTCTTCTTCTGCTCTCGGGTGCGCCCGCCCGCCTTCCACGGGTCCGGGCGCGGGCCCCCCCCGGGCTCCTCCCGGGTGGGCTCCGAGCAGATGGGCGTCGGGGCTCGCGCCGCAGCTCGGAGGCATCGGCGATGCAGCTCGATGTGGGAGCCTGGTTTCTCTCCGCGCCGACACGTCGGCGAGGCGTCGCCGACGCGTCGCCGACGCCTCGCCGCCGTCGTCGGCCAGCGGGGGAGCCTCTAGAAGCAGTGTCTGCACCTAGAGGGATCCGCACCTCGTGGGCCGAGCACACCTCCGCGCCCGCGGCCTTTGCGGGCTGGGGCCGTGGGCCGGGGACCCCCGCGGATCGCCGGGGAGCCCGGCGCGGATAGCGTGTCCGTGCGGCCGCTCATCCGCAGGAGCGCGCCCCGGGAGCCAGGCCGGGAGGGCGCGCGTATACGGGCACGTTCGCCGCTCGTGATCCTCCCCGTTCTTTGCGGGACTGGATTCGGCGGCGAGCGAGGGAGGGAAGTGGGAAGGAGGAGGCCTTCTCAGAAGGCTCGGGAGTCCTCCAGAGTCCTCCAAATGTTCTGAGCTGTCCCCAAGACACAGCAAGCTTCTCGGGAGGCGCGAGGGCTTTTGAGAAGTCCCGCCGCCTTCTGAGAAGGCTTTCCCCTTCTCACTCCCCCCCTCGCTCGACGTCAATCGATGCGGCGTTCCACCCAGACCCGATCACTGGCGTTTAGTAAGCGGCCCTGGGCGTCTACTATGCCCTGTTCGATTCCCTCGTTGGGCGCGATTACTAAACGGCTTCGCGTGTCGGGTTGATTACGAGGGTGGACGTTCTGCTCTCTGCTTTCCTTGCGGAACTAGATGCGGCGTTCCGAGAAGGGCCCGGCCTGCGAGGATCGAAGAGAGGTGCCGCTTCTTCGGCGGAGGGGTCGGGCGGAAGGCTGGCGGAGGGCGGCGGAAGTAAGAGAAGGGCAGCGGCGCCGCCGCCGGAGGAAAGCCGGCGGAAGGCCAAGGCCGGCGAAAGAGCTGGCGCAAGTGAAGATCGGCTTCCAGTGGAAACCCATGCCAAGAAACACCCTGCTTGCCTCCTGGGTTCGCAGAAGAAAAAACGGCATGTGGGCCCCCCCCCAGCGGCGCCTGCGGCGCCGCCCCTGGCGCGCTCCGCGCGACAGGGAGGGGTGTCCAGCGCGGATCCAAGACATCTGCGCGGAGCGCCAAACGTTTACATGTATGCGGTTTTGTTCTTCTACTCCAGGGTGCCCTGTGTTCCTTGGGTTTCGATGGTGCTGCTGTGGAGAGCGTGACGTTTTGCAACAGCAGAGAATCCATGGACGTCCTGGAATCTCAGAGTTGGGTTTCTTGTGGGAGGTGTCTTGTGGTCGAGGTCCAGTACAGTCGGGGCCCTGAAGAAGGAACCCTTTTCGTTGGGGAGGGGCTCCGCGTTCCTTATGTGTTTCACAGCTTGCCTCAGGTTTTCCTTGTGCTTTCGATAGGAAATCGAAGTTTAACTTGTGGAAAAGAAGTGGCCTCGTTCCTTATTTAGGGTTCCTTAGGTCAAGGCCCCGACTGTACTGCACCAAGAGATGGCGCGGGTTTGTGGTTCGGGGCTTCGGAACTCGCCAGGTGGGTGCGGCGGGGTTTCGCCACGCCTGCGGGCACGTGCCGCTTCGTGGGCACCTCGTGGGTGCTCCGTGTTCTGAGCTTACACTACACGGCTTCCGACACATAGGTTACACCACATAGTTTAATGTGGGATGACAATTAAGAAGAAAAGGAGGGGGAACGATTAAGAAATTAGCTTCCCACACCGGAGGGAACGCTCAGAAGCAGGGCTCGCCTGTGCGGTGTTTCGTCACCGGGGGGGGCGCGCGCCCGAGGACGGCGGGGGGGGGGGGACGATTAAAGAAATAGTTTCCCAGCCCGGGGCCGGTTTGTTCTAATCATCATCCCGGGCGCCGCCGTGTGAACACGACCCCCGGTCATGTTTTAATCATCATCCCCTATTACACAACATGAGTAGTACACCGCAAGCTACACAGCATAACCTACAGCACATCGCTTGCAACACATGGCTTTGATGATTTATGAGTTTGTGGGGATTATTAAAGTTGTTTAGCCTTGGGAGATGTTGGGTATTTCATGGCTTTAGAGATTTTATGCGTTTTGTATGGTTATCTGAGTTCTACATATTCGAAACATATGGTGGATATTGTATGGGTTACGAAATATGTAGCGTTTCGAGGGTTTCCAGGTCTTGTCGAGCTTTCAAATATTCAGAACATTCATCGTTGTATTCATTATGTCTAGGCAGAGTCAGCAGCATTTCGATATAATGTGATGTAATCGCCGATTCTATTACATGAGTTGAACAATACTTAGTAATTATTGAGACCAGAGTTGAGGATATAGCTGCCACGTCCAGTTGATACAGCCTAGCTGACGCGGCATAGTTTACATCACATAGCTGGCACCACATAGCTGACTTCGCATAGGTTTGACCAAACAGCTTGCATAGGCTTCACCACGCAGCTTACACTGCATAGCTTACGAAGTATAGCTTACACCGCAAAGCTTCAGCCCCCATAGCTCACGCAACGTAGCTTGCACCTTAAAGCTTGAACGACTTAGCTTACACCATACAGCTTTCACCTCCATGTATCACACCACACAGCTTGCACGACAAAGCTTTCATCAAATATCTTACTCTGCATACCCTTCGCCTCCACGCTTCAATATCGCACTGCTTGGCTTTTCACGCTTGCTTGCATCGCGTTGTGTATTATCAAAGCCCATACAGTTGCGGAGAAGAGTGAGGGGGCGTTCTGGGGTCATAGGCAGTCTGCGAGGCTCGGAAGCGAATTCGAAGAATCCCGCCGCATGCGCCGATGTGCCACACATGACACAAGGAGCCCGCTCGATGCGTTGTTTTATCGTCGGAGCAATGTGGATGTGTCGCGGGTGGAGCGCGGATGTGTTGACGGTGGGGTCGCGGGCGAGTCGCGGGCGAAAACGACGACAACGACAGCGCAACGACGACACAACAGCACGACACAACAACATAGCAAGAATCCGCACCGCAGATTCCAGGGACAGTGTAAGACAGTTTGCCTCCTTGAGGGCGGGGCCGACCAGGGGTGTATCATGAGCCAACTCGCGCCGAGAATTTGGGATCTCCCAGGTAGATTGGCCGTGTTTCACTTCAGGGCAGACGTGTTTCACTTCAGGGTCCCAAGGCCATCGCGATGTAGCAGGCGTCAGCGGGGGAGCCGGCCAGGTGTGTTTCACGGGCCCGTTCGCGCCCAGATTACCGAAACCTTCCAGGTGCCTAAGTTGCCACCACTACTTCTCACATGTCCCTAGTCCGAGCCACTCGTACCCAGCGTTGCTTATATTCAGCCACGCATGCTCAGGCTCACTCGCACCCAGACCCATTTATATGTAGGCTTCAGACTAAGCTATACCCAGGCATTCAGAAGAGAGCGCGGCAGAAATTATATGCGCGTGAGGGTGTCGGTGCATCGAATGATCACTATCAGGTTCTCGGGGGCCCTCTTGCAGCGACGTTCGGGGTATTCTCGTGTCGACGTGGGTGCCCTTGCTGGAATCGTCAAGTCGGCAATGTACGAATCAAATCGTTCTCTCTGCTTTCAACGTTGTTCGCTGCGCACTTCACACTTGGAAGCTCGAGATCACGAAAAGGCATGGACTATGCAGATCCTTGATGCGTTTAATGGAGGATGACGATGAATAAATGACCGGGGGTCGTGTTCACGCGGCGGCGCCTTGGATGACGATTAGAAAAAACCGGCCGCGGGCTGGAAAACTATTTTCTTCAATCGTTCTCCGCCAGTCAGAAGCTTGTGCAGAAATGACAGAAAGCTATTTTTCGAATCGTTTCCCCCTCATTTTTTATTCATCGTCATCCCGCATTATGTGATGCTCAGATCCTGGGGGCTCGGAGCGACAAGGAGGCACGGACCGTGGGAGCCGTCGGGAGGTCCGAGGCCAGGGGAGACCCCTGGGAGTTGGGGAAAGAGGCCCCGGGGCGTGGGAGCCTCCTGCCCTGACCTTCCAGAGAGCTGTTTTTTAGCACTGGAGACTTAAAAACTTAAAAAGCGGAGCGAAACAGCCTAAAACCAGGACGTAGAATAGCTCTGGGATAGGTTTTTAGGTCGGGTGCTATTTTTTAGCCCTCCTGGAGGCCTCCTGGGGCCGGGGGTCGCTGAAGGTGCCCCTGGCCCAGGGCTCCCCCAGCTTCTCGCTCAATCCTGAAGCCCCTGGGGCCTTTTTTTTGGTTTCAGACTTCCCACGCACGCGAGCTCCCGGCGAGCTCCCGCGAACGGCTCACGTTGAAGCCCCTGGGGCCCCCCTGGGCCTCGCGAGGGGGTGCTCCGGAGGCTGGGGGCCTCCCTGGAAATCCTGGGGGCACCCTGGGGCAGGGGCACCTCTAGCATTATGTCGGGCCTGTCCCCCTACAGGGGGATTTTCGACGAAAAATAAAACATACCCCAAAAATGCACCAAAAAGGTGAAACGTACACCAAAAAAAAGTTCCCAGACCACGTTTTGCTGATTTTTTGATTATTTTTGGTGGTATTTTTTTAATTTTTCGTCGAAAATCCCCCTGCAGGGTGACAGGCCCGACATAGTTCTAACAGCACCCGACCGGGGGCCTCCCGGGGGGCCTCCCGGGGGCGCCCTCCCGCGGCGGGGGGGGGGCCTCCCGCAGGACGACGACGGCGGCTTCTCCTGCCGCGCGGCGGCCTCTCCCGAGGTCACCACGTGGGGGCGCTGGCGCCCCGGGAGGGGGCGAAGCGTGCCACTCAGTTCGGGGGCGGAAAAGAGGGGGGTGATGACTAGTCTGGACGCCCGAGATGGGCACGGAAAGAATGGGTAATATGCCCAACAGCAGTTCTTGTTCATTCTGAACCGGATTCGCTGTCCACGCCGCCGCGGCCTGTGTCCATTCGAGACAGAAGGCCGCCTGCCAAACAGCGGCCGCTGTTGGTTTGGGACAACAGTTGTTGTTGGGCATTGTACCCATTCTTTCGGTACCCATTTCGGGCGTCCAAAACTAGGGGGGGGATATCATGGCGGGGACCATCATATCTCCCCGGATTTCAGGGCGCCTCTTCTTGTTCCAGTACGTCCCTGGCCCCCCCATGGGCCGCGCACATGCCGCCGGTCACGATTTGCCCCCCCCCCCCCCCCCCCCCCTCTTGGACACCCCCCTCTTGGCCGCTCCCGAGCTCAGTGTCAAGCAGTGGCGAAGCGTCTTGGCGTGCCTATAGTCCTACCAAACAAGGTTCTCAGAACCCTTTGTGCGGTTTCCACGAAGTGTTCTCATGACATCTCTGGCAGAGTCTGCTTTGTTTTATCACATCTGGCTGAAGTTCTAAGAGCACTCCTTTGTTGTTATCGCATTTGGGGGGTTCTCGGAACATGCCGTGGTAGGACTATAGGAATGCCGGTACGGTGGGTCCCTGCTCAACCTTGGCATCGCTCGGACGTGTGCATTTTTCCTTCGGCGAGGACCATCGAGGAGCATCCTTGGCGAAAAAGCGACGCACGAAATCGGAAAACAAACACAGGGAATGGACGTCCGAGCGATGGCCAGCAACAGTGGGCACCCCTCAGAGCTGATCGTGGCAGTCTCTTGCTCCCCACGGGCGTCTGTTCTCGCTCGGCTCTGGGCCTTTGGGGCCCTCACGGATCGATGCGGCGCGAGAAAACACTTGGCGCAGACGAAGTCGGCCTCCCGGTCTCCCGTCGTCAGCTGTCGCGATGCTGCAACTCTTGTGGTCGTTGTCTCATTCATTGTTCTGCCGATCGGCGCGGGCCCTCGTACCCCCCCGCCCCCCCCACCCATGGAGCAGGTCTGGGCTGTTTGGGCGCCTGTTACGAGCAGGTGGACTCCACCGTAACAAATGATGCAACCAACCCTGACTACCCTCGGGGGACGCGGTGGGTTCGGTCCCGATTGCTTGGCAGTTGCTCATGGAGTCTCCCCCACATGACGCACTGTTGCAGGTGGAGGTCCGGAGCCCGACCCCCCCTGTCCCCCCCCCCCCCTTCCGCCCAATGTCGAAACGCCGAATAAGAAAACATCTACCTAGCTCAGTTGCCTCGATACGCCCGTTTTGATACGCAATACGTCCCGTGTTCAAGACATCCGTGTCAATGCGCTGCATGTTGCTCCACGTATTGGACCACTTTTTGGCGAGTGCATCGCGTCGGACCTTCGTTTTCAGCCTACGTGTGCAGCTCCGTATCCATACGCTGCGTGTTGCGTGCTGCGTATCGGGGCAGCTCAGCTACCCAGGGCTCCAGTCGTCATTTTCGCGATGCCAGCGTCAGACCTCCTTCCGCCCCCCCCCCCGCCCTTGTCTTGTCGCCACGACCAGATTCGCCGCGAAGCCCCGACCATGACGCGCCCCTGGGGGGGGGGGCGGGGAGCAGCGGTGCCGCCAAGACTTACGTCGGACGTGTCCCCCTACAAGGATATTTTCGACGAGAAATAAAAGATACCCCAAAAATACATCCAAAAAGGTCAAAAAATACCCCCAATTTTTTTGTTGGGAGTATTTTGAATGTTTCGTCGAAAATCCCCCTGTAGGGGGACAGGCCCGACATAAGCCAAGACGCTGAAATAAGGAACAATTTGTATTCGGAAGGGGCTCGCTGTTCCTTAGGTTCCTCCTTTGCTGTTCCTCCTGCCCTCCTCGGGCACGGAGGCGCTTCCAGGGCCAAAAAGGGGCTTCGTTCCTTGTGCAGCGTTCCTTCTTTCAGCAGCCCGACTGTATCGGTATCGTTGTTCGAGCAGACGAGAACATGGATGATTTAGGGCGCGTGGATTCGCGACGGGTCCCGTTTCCATGCGAGACCAGCGCGCGCCGACGCCAAATGAGGCGGCATTGGCCTCAGTTTTCGGAGGACGCGCCAGATCCACGGATCCGTAAGTCCGACTTTTGTTTCTCCCAGGCGCATGGTGGTGGGCGGCTACGTGGAGGCTCCCTCCTCCCTCCTCCCTCCTGCGCGCCGGCTGTGCACCAGCACCGATCCCGGCGAAGCCCATCCCGGGGCCAGGATCGTTGCAGCGGCTCCCGGTTTGGCCAGAGAGGCGCACACTCCAGTCCTGGGCTGAGAGCTGGTCTGGCCAGCATCGGTGATGGACGGCTAGCTTCTGCAACCACTCCTCCCTCCCTTCTCCCTCCCTCCTCTCTCCCTTCTCCTCCCGCCTTCTGCTGCTCCTCCTCGTCCCTCCTCCGACCTCCCTCCTACAACCCTCCTCGGAATCAAGCGCAAGTCTCTTGTGTTGGCCGACGCGCGGAACGCGGCCCACGGGTCAGATTGTTGCGATTGCAGGCGCCAAGTTTCGGCGCGGACGCTGCAATGCTGGGGTCCTAAAAGCCTATCCAGACATGGAAGGTGCAATCCTGGGGCACGATACTTCCGGGCACTTGTCAGAAAGCGCGCTCTTCAATGCTGAGAGGGTGGGGTCGGTGTTTGGACAAGACCGCGTCCGAGTCAACAGGGATCCGTCAGCAGTGGAGCAGCGCTGACCCCACAAGGCACCGAATTCAGAAGTCTTCTGCTTATTTTTGACGAGGCTTGTAGGGCGCCGCAGCGTCGCGGGAAAAGCTTGCGCTTGATCTCGAGGGGGGATGCATATTTAAGTCGGGCCCGTCCCTCTACAGGGGGAATAGTCAAAAGAAGTAACAAATAGTCTGGGGACTATTTTTTGACTATTTTTTACCATTTGGGAATTTTCTTGGTATTTATTTCTTTTCGTCGAAAATCCCCCTGTATGGGGGACGCCCGACTCAGATGTGGATCTCCCCCCCCCCCCCTCTCGGGAGCCGAGCTCCCTGGAGACGAGGCCTCCAGGGGCCGCCGGAGGCCTCCGGAGGCCTCCGTGCGAGACCTCCGGAGGCCCCGGGTGAAGTCGGGCCTGTCCCCCATACAGGGGGATTTCGGACGAGAAAAACATATAAAATACCCCAGATCGCAAGTCCCCCAGGGGGCGGCGAGCTACCGAGGTGGCCCCTGTGGGACCCACCTCCGCTGGGCCTCCCAGGAGCCCACGAAAGTGGCGACAATTGCGCAGATCGCAAGCCCGACGGCACGAGAGAAGAGGAGATAGGAACACAGGAAACTTGAGAGGAGGAGGGGAGGAGGGGGGAGGAGAAGGAGGCCGGGGCGACCACACTGCTTTATTCAAAACGAGTGCCCAACCATGGGAGGGTTGGGAAAGACCCCAAACATGCCCCAAAATTGTCAAACATACTCAAAACATCGTCCCCAGACAGTTTTTTTTTGTCTATTTTGGAATCTTCCCCCTGTAGAGGGACAGGCCCGACTCAAACCTCGGGGGAGCCGCAGGACATGCCCGTCGACGCGCTCGTCGAGAGGCTCTGGGACGGAGCTGAGCGGGGTGCGCTGGCGTCTCCAGCGCGGGCTTAAGAAGCTCCGCGCGTCGTCCTCACTCTTGCCCGTCTTCTCTCCCGCGGGTCTGTATCACGCACGCAGAGGCGGGGGGTTATCCATAGCCGCCGCCTGCCGAGGTCCCCGAAGGTCAAGCCCCGAGGCGGTGGTTACGGATGAAGCCCCACCTCGTCATCGCCACCGTCTTTGGCTCCGCCTC